ACCCTAAGGCAACACACTCGTGAAATGGCCCTGAAATTGCATGTCTCTCATGAAACAATACGTAACATCTAACGGAATACTGGGAAAACTCCATTAAAGAAGGTGTTTGGGTGCCTCAAGAACTCTCTGATGATAATCGTTTCCAACGTGTGAACGTTGCTTCGTCTCTTCTGGCGTGTAATGAGCGTGAACCAATTTTCGACAGAATTGTCACCGATGACGAAAAGAGATTGTCTATGCGAATATTAAATGCCAAAAACAATAGTTCAGTCATAGAAAGTGATGCTTTGCATTTGGTCGGACATCAAAGGAGTAATTCATTTCGCACTCCTCAATCCACAGCGAACTGTCAATGTAAAGATCTATAGTCAACAAGTGGAACGTTTAAATCAAGCCCTCCATCAAAAACGCCCTTCACTGTCAATTGGAAAGTTGTTTTTCTTCTCCACGACAATGCACGTCCACATGTGGCACGTTTGACGCAACATAAGATTATGGAGTTGGGTTGGTAAGTTCTCCCCCACCCACTATATTCTCCAGATATGGCACCATCAGATTACCATATTTTCCGTTCGCTGCAACACCATCTTAATGGGAAAACGTATGCAAACATGGAGGGTGTTAAAGAGGACATCGACATGTTTTTGGCTTCAAAGCCAAGTGATTTCTTTAATCAGGGCATTAACAACCTGACTGTAAAATGGAAAAGCATCATCGATAAGAATGGAGACTATTTCATTTAATAAATATTTTGTTTTGATATTTTCATCTAAAAAGAAGCGACCTTAATTTTTTGACGATCTAATAGTTTCAACACACGTTGTCTTCTAGCCGAAAAAAAACTGGTCAACTAACGCCTAGGTGACTTGTGATCGTGGAATTCCCACGAAGTTAAGCTTAAAGTGACCTTGGGAGGTGTTGAAGTGCCAATCCTGTGAGTAAGGTTATGTAGGTGAAACTAGAAGAAGGGTTTCCACGAGTTTCTGAACATAAAAGAAGAAATAAAATATGGAAACAAAACAATGCCATTTCTCTTCATATGAGAGATTCTGGCCATCAAATTGATTGTAAATCAACAAGAATTTTATACAAAACGGATAACTACATAAAGAGAAAAAACGTCGAAAGGTGCTTAATCAAAAGCCTGCCCTAATTTCAACACCTCCATAGGTCACTTTAAACTTAACAACTTCCTGACCTCCTGTGTCCTTAAGGGAATTCCAAGATCAGGGGTCACGTAGGCGTTCGTTGACCAGTTATGTCCTGCCAGAAGACAACGTGAGACTGAAGAGGACGCACGAATGTGTCGAAACTAGTTTCTCTAATATCAGACTTCTGACAATTTGTTTCGATATTGTGTTCATTTATTATTTATTAACTCCAACAGGATTGGAAAGACTGAATCCATGACTCTCAGTACAAAAACCAAAAAATTGTGGCTCTGTGTTTGTTTTTTTTTCTTAAGAAAAAAAAAGTTGAACTGACGTAAATTATATTTGATTAATTTATATTGTATCGTAGGTTTGTGGAAATTTGAGTTTAAAATTATCTTGAGTGGAAGTTTAAAAGGTGAAGATAATTACCAAAGACATAACATATTTTATTCAAATAAAGATTTTTTTGTATACATAACGTAAAAATTCGTTTAGTCCGTAAGTTCTTCACGTAGGCCTAAAATCCATTAGGCTATATCACAATGACGGATATGTGTAAGTGATATAACATTTGTATCATAATAACACCTACGCCTAAAGTATTAATCTCGATTTCCATGTCAATGTGACAAATGGGTCTAAAATTTAACGTATTATTAAGAACCACATATCATCGTAAGAGATGATTTACTTCGAATTTCCAAGACATAGTTCATTTAGCTTTAAACCCATGGGTGAGATATTTCATCTCAGTTGTATACAAACCCAAGAGTGGAAAGTTTTCGTGGGAAGGGAGTTAATTTACATAAATTTTATTTACGAGACAAGATTTTTAAAGGGCATTTTTTTTAAATCAACAAAATATTCCCTCAGAATAAAAATCAACTTTAACTTCTCGGAAAGTTTTTTTTTATCATTTTTCTGATTTACAGTGTTTATACTAAATTTAAAAAATTGTATTTTTAAATTTGTATTTTGTTACTCCATTATTATTCGGTAGGTTAAGTTAGTGCAGGCAATATCCAATCCACCAAAAACAACTGCTGTCAATTTCGGGGGACAAATCTTGCATATACACCTTTACCTGGGGTAAGTGTAGCCGGGCGTACTGTAATAGTCAGTTCCTGCAAGAAAATATATCAAACCATTAGAGTTTAATGCGACCCTGTAATAAGTTCTTTGAAGAATGTATATTCACACTAAAGGATTATTGAAGCCGTAATGTGGCGCTGCGATTATCAAGTTTCTACTGGGCATTGAATAATGTTACAGTAATACCAAACTCACTATCAAGTTTCAATTTTGCAATAAATAAATACCTCGGTAATAATATCGAAAATATAATAAAAACAGTACCATACCTTAAAGATGAGTTTATCTAAGGAAATAAAAAACACGGGTGATAGGCTATTAATTACAGTATAGTAACAGCACTTCGATGTGACAATACGAGGGACATTTTCTCCCCACAAATAAGCAAACGCTACCACTATTTTACTGTATACTGACTGGCCCTATCAGAACTTCCTACACATATACTTGGACAAAATGTGACATATTTAAAAGAGAGTGCTCGTGTAATATCTCTGGTGTTTAATTGAATATAATAATAATAAGGAAAGTGTCGGTCTATACAGCTAAAGTTCAGTGGTTCGCGTCCCATTATCTTAAAAAAAAAGAGTTTGTTCTTTTAGTAACGATTGAACCACACTGTTCGACCTGATAAAAGTTGGTAGTAGATGGTGATGACTAGCTGCCTTCCCTCTCGTATTTCACTTCAAAATTAGAGACGGCTAGTACAGATAGCCTCATGCAGCTTTGCAGGAAAGCCAACAAACAAACGATTCTTATTTATACACAAATAAAGTAATATTAAAGTTTTCCAAACTACAGGAAAGAGCAAGGATGTGAAGAAGAACATGACTGTGGGCACTCGTTTAGCAGGAATATTTTTTAATGAAGACCATTTCTATGACGATTAGATAAATTCTCCTATCATCCGAGTTCGTCAAAAAAAGCAATCGATACGAAAGATATCTTCAAAGAGACAAAACTGTGGTTACCAGTCGCTGATGAGCGAGAAGTGGGGGTAACTACAAATGATGGGCCCTCGCATTTATCCCCCTTGTCGGCAATTCTTAAGTTTATCGGGCTCTTGTTCCAGTTAAGTTCCATAACTATCTTCAATCATATCATGCGAAGGACCTTACAAGAAATGGCACTTAATAACCGAATCTGAACACTCATCTCAAATGCACACAGGAAAAGTTCAAAAACATGACTTTAACTGAGCGTAGAATGGTGACTTGTGACACTGTGAAACGTTTTACACTAATTTTTAGTACTGGTTATACGGTTAAAGTATGGGAAAAACCATGAAACTGGTCATCCTATTTGCTTTGTTAAAATGATGCTATTTAGTGGAGGTGCTGTAATAGTCTGGGGATATTCTCTAAGGATAAGAAAAGTTCATATATTTCTTTAGAAGAGTGATTGACATTCAGAGGAGCCTTCCAATGTAATACTTCAACAATCCATGGGGCTTCTCTTTTCCAACAAATGTTTTGAAGAGCATGGTGGTCTTGACATCTGCTGTCTTCTATAACTAGTGCAAACACCAGATTCGGTCCAATTGAGGAACTTTGCAATGATCATGAATATCGCACTTTCAAACTTATTTCTCTGTAATATCCTTTTACAACTGGGTTGCTTTTGGAACTTCCGGCATTTTGTAGAGTCTGTGCCATACCGAATCCGTGTACCAAAAGTTTGATTCAACCTGATGATAGGCGGTGATCCTAATAAAGTGGGCAGACTGTTCTAATATTATATATACTTCTTGACATGTTACAGATAGCCCTTGAAAGCTAATTTTATACAGGGTGGAGTAAAAGTTATTATACAGTTATTTCTTGTAGAACATAGTTTAATTTCTAACGTCTTACTCTGAAGCAAACTATAATTAAATGGGTTTCAGTTGTCTTCGTAATATTTTCTTGAGTATCAACTGTATAGTAATTTTTACCCAATCCTGTACTTTTTGGCCCTTACGTTTACGTTAAATACGTCTTTGTAATGATATAGAATTAAGGGACAAATGACTTTCAAATAACGTTCGGCCTTTTCATTGGATTCTAAGAGGCATTTATCTAAAACCTAATCTAAAAGTCATCTTCGCTTTAATTTGAGTGAATTTCATTTCAGTAATGGTATGATAAGGCTTAGAGAAAATTATCACAAACATAAATATATCTTTCTGATGATATGCTTTACCTTTTCTGTCATTTCATTTGGTTCCAAGCGGTATTTATGTAGAATTTGAGCTAAAGCCAATTTGGCTTCCATTTGGGCGAATCTCATCCCAATACAGTTTCGGGGACCTTGTCCGAACGGTTGCCAAGCAAGAGGATTATTTTTCTGGCGATTTTGTGGAGAAAACCTAAGTTAAGCAAACTTAAAGTTAATAATACAAGATAATAATGATGTAAATTACTATTACAATAATTGATACTGAAAATTACGAAAACTGTAAAACGAAAACAAAGGCTATTAAAACCGCGAAAACAGACAGAACTAAAGGTCTTAGACAAGAACCGTTGCTGTAATTCTTTATCTACCAACTTTTTATGTTACCACTCGTATCTTAAGCGTTCAAAATATAATTAATACCAGAATTTATAATTTATGATTAAAACTTATTGAGAAAAATTATAATAATAATAATATATATATATATACCTGTCTGGATCGAACTTTTCTGGATTTGGCCACAGATTTGGATCATGATGAAGATGATACACAGGCACTTGAACTGTCATCCCCTTCGGGATACGAAGAGATCCGTACTGGATATCCTTGCTTGCTTGTCGGTTGACAAAACTTAATAACCAAATCAACATTAGGAAACGAAAAAATCCTACTAACTGTTGAAAACATTAAAGCTAGCTGTAAGTTATATGATATATATATATTTGTCGTTGTCTACAATGACGTTTTCTTGCATAAATTATCATTACTTCAAGAAATAGTTATAATTAAGTATACTTGTAATAAGATATTATGTTAGGCCTATTATATTTTTAACACTATGTTCTTAATCCAATCCCTTAGAGATTTTCAAGAATTAGGAAAGTGTATAATTTAGTTTAATTTAATAATGTCGTATTTTTATCCATATTTAGAGTAGCATTTTAATTAATATGGAAAACAAAAACATTGGTCTATTTATATTTATAACTGATTTAAATTTAAGTCCTAAAAAAGATAAACCATGCACAGAATTTACTCAAGTCGATTAAACTTAAGAACAATAAAACTGACTGCAAGTTTTGTCATAAAATAAAACAAAATAAAAACTGCAATTTATTAGATTTAAATCGCTTTTTGTTTCTTCTTCTATTTGTCTTTTGCAGACTAAGATACTTACAGGTAGATTGGAGGATAAAACCGTAGACTTTCGGACAGAACCTGGTCCAAATACTGCAGCTTATGAACCTTTGCGTAGTCAAGTGTCTCTCCCTGTGGAGTGAAACTTGTATTTTTAACGTTTAGGGTAAAGCAGTTTTAACATTAAAATATTTAAAACATCGTGCTGTAAAGAATGTGTGTTATGAGAAAATACAAAATTTAATTTACTATTTCAAAGATTGAATCAAGATAAAAATGATGTTTCATTGTTAACACGTTCGCTGCCACCAGTAGTATTAATAAATTATGTATAAGTAAAATTAAACATCCAAAAGATGTCGAGGAGCAGCCATAGTGTCCCAAACTCATATGCTGCAAGAAAAAATTGGCTTTGAAACATAATTGTCTGTGACCCACCGGTGGGGCAGATATGTGTTAAATACAATCTGAGTAAAAATAAATACAAATAAAGTTTCACATATTAGTATCATTATATTTTCTAACTGAAAAGATATTGAGAATGAATATTTGATGACAATAACTTTCCGAAACGTATTATCTCATTAGTTAAAAATATCTAATCAAAACAAGAACTTACACAAAACTTTCGTTTTACCACTTATTTTCAACCAATGGTTTGATGTTAATTATTTGTAGTCTGTTTTATAATTTGTAGACATTGATTTAGAGGTTACTTTTTTTATTGAGGAGAAACAAGTCGACTACATTTGGGTTCGAATAAAACAAAATTTGTCGGCTTCGAAAAATTGTGTGTCGTAATACATGTGCTAACGACGTACAAATTTGAGCATATTAACTTTCGCACCACTTTATTAAAAGTAAATGACAAAAAAAGATAAACAATTATTTCTACATACTTCTTCAGCCATTAGTTGATCTACTTCTTGCCGTATTTTCTCCTGCACTTCAGGATGTTTTACAAGCAGGTGTGTGGTGAAACCAAGCGCTGTACTTGTCGTCTCGTATCTGAGGCGTAGTGAAAACAATTTATATTAAAAATTCACAATGAAGTAAACAGAAATAAACACTTAATACGATAAATATAAACAAAAAACTACAACAAAAAACATTGAAATAAACTGAAACTGAATTATCTAAGCATAAATTATAATAAAACCATAGCTACAATTTTTTTTATTAATTTACAAAAATTTTCAAAGACCAGAATTTATGTCTTATATTTAAACCAAATGAGTTGTTTTTATAAATAACTATAACTGCAGTAATCATTATTGTTATTATTTCACTAGTTTGATGTACCTCGAGAAATATTCGTATACAATTATCTCAAGATCTTCTTTAAAAAAAAAATCACAAATAACTGACGTGGTGCAGTTTTAGAGGCGTCGCTAGGCACTGGCACACGGGGCTCGTGCCCCCGATTCTATTTGACAGTGCCCCGAATCCCCAGTTAGTGTCTTGAAAACTAAGGATAGAAGACCATAATCAATATCATATTAAAACGCCGAAAATTTCCGCGCCTATGGGTCCGAGCCCCGAATCTTTTTAGCACCCAGCGACGCCTCTGGTTTAAGATATTTAAGTTTGAGTGCATATGTTTCCTACCCTGCCAGTAGAGCTATAAAAGCATTTGCTTCTATTTCAGTGTCTGACAACCCCCGGGTCTTGGTGGTGGCCTTATTTGACTCAGAAGCTGAAAAAAAAATGAATACTACAGTATAAAAATTTAGTATATAATGTTAAAGTAATAAAAATGATAACGAATAAAAACTGGCTAACAACAATTTGAGGAGAGCATCTTAGAGAAAACAAACAAAAAATAATAAATTCAATTTTGTTAGTTGCTGTATTTTACAAAATTTAAACTTATGATAAAGCAAATTTTCACCCATTTCATTGCATTTAATTTATTGTTGTTCTCACGTTGGTGAATAATATTCCTGGTGAGTCATTTGAGAAGGAAGGAGCACATCTAAAAATTATAAGCCTAAAGCGCCAGTAAACCTTAATACACCCCTGGTCATTAGAGAATCTGTTAAAACAAAGCGTATTAATTTGTGGTTGAAATAAGTTCCTACTGATATATTATTTCGCTGAAATTAGTAAAATTTGGATATTGGAAGAAATAAACATTTATATTTTATTCAGCAAATCCATTGAAAACTCGAGAAAAATAATTTTGTAGCATTTATGATACATGTTCTTCAAATAACTATGTAAATAGGCGTTTCTTCTAGAATAATGTGATATTTATTGTCAAATAACTTATCTGTTACTGATATTTTTTCCTGACGGATTGCTTGAGTCGGTGTTGAGAAAGGGCAGGTTTTTATGAATAAACAAAAGATACTGTTTATATTGAAAATAGCAAATACTAACTTTTATATATTACTAGTACAAATAACTTTTTTGTGAAAGTACATTCAATTTATATATTAATTACTACCATTGTGTGGATAGGTGGACCTCAGTCGAATATTAGTGTTTTTTGAAAATAATATTATTGAATTTTAAAACTCTCAAACAGAAAGTTCATATTCGAAATTATAATAAAGGAAATACATCCCTTTAGAACTTAGAGATTAACAAACTATATATATATATATGTGAGGTTAAATTTAAGGGCATTTTTGGCACTTTTAAAGTATTCGGACCACTAAAATTTGTTGTTATTGTTTCGTCTGGTTTCCTTTAAAGAATCTTTTTTATCTTAATTTATAGATACAAGAAAATTTATAAATATTTCTACTTTTATTAACTCTGTTAAATTTTACGTATTTAGTCGTGCAATATAAAAGCATTTTTTTAATAACCAAGTAAAAGTCGTGTTTTATAACTTTCTATAATAAAACATTTACAAACGTTTAATGTCACCATTTTCAGTTCCCTGTGCTTTCTCGTCATATTTATCAGCTTCGTCTCCAGCGGTAAGTTGGTCTGCAGTTATTTTCCCCATGTCGACTTTTTTATTTTGAGAATCGATCATTAACTGGAGCAGGTCTGGGCGTCGCTTCTACATCAGTGACAGAATAAAACATTTGGAAAATAAATTAATGTATGCAAAGATCAAACCAGCTACATCCTTTCTCTCATCCGCCCAAGAATCTCAACTTAAAGTATCATTTATTATAAAATATGGGATTGGTGCACCTATTTAGTCTGTAGTTGTTACCACTACTTCAGCGCCATCTGTGATTGCTTGACTATCCTGGACTACCCCAGCTATGTTACTATCAAACCTAGTTCAAGAATTTATCTGGCCAAATCAACAATGTTACCCGTTCGCGATAGGTACCATGGGAGGCATATCAGGCTCAGTTTGAAATAATTTCCAGATCGAACGAGTGAAATACTGAAGAACAAGTTTTTAATGTTGTTGCTTATTTAAAAGGAACAGATGTAACAACAATAAGCGATCTTCTAGCTGAGAGTCGAAACAAGCATTTCATATGATTGATACTGGAGATGCATCTCCAATATTCGGTTAGATATATATAATTCGCATTTTAAAACAGAATAAGGATTTCAAAGCAACAAAAGCCAGGAAGTAACAAGGAGTATTAAAACCAAGTACTAGTCCTTGTGCATCACCTACTGGATCCACAAGGTTATGGGGACCACCGGAAGGTAAATGAAATCAGAAAGAGGGATGTCTTATGTGGATCAAAATGATTTTTAACATTGGATCTGAAGTGTGGATATTGGCAAGTACAAGTCAATGAAGCAAGTATAGGAGTGACAGCCTTTACTGCAGGAAATGAATTGTGGCAGTTTGTTGTGCTGCGGTTTGGATTATGTAATCTACCTGTTACGTTTCAATGACTAATGGAATGTACTCTCTCTCTGAACTACCATAGAACGTCATACTCATCTTCATGGATAACATAATAAAACAGGAGAAGACTTTTGATAATGTTTATGATGGGCGAAAAAGACCTGGAAAGGTTGAGGAAAAGGGACTTTAATTGAGCTGAATCTGAAGAAGTGTGAATTGTTATGTCAACAGATGAGTTTTCTGGAATATATTGTTAAGAGAGAGAGGAAGACCATACAGTCCCATCTAAAATGGAATCGGTCTGGGATTGGCCAACACCAAAAAATGTGCATGGGGTAAAAATATTTCTTTGACTGTTCTCTTACTATCATCATTTTGTAGACTAATTCCCTAACATAGCTCGTCCTTTACACAAATTACTTGAAAAAACAATTAGGTTTTGTTGGACTGCTGATTGTGAATAAGGATTCAAAAACTTAAAGAAGATTTAATCATTACTCTTACATTAGCACAGTCAACTCTTGAAGATTCACTCATTTTAGAAACAGACGCAGTGATTTTACAATGGGAATAGTGTTATCACTGAAAAGAACATATGATTGCCTACTATAGCAGGACAATGAGTGCTACAGAAAGAAGGTATTATAGAACATGAAAAGAGCTACCAAGTGTTGCTTGAGCCCTAAGCCATTTTCAAAGTTATCTGTATGGACTAAAGTTTACACCCTAGGCAATGCAACATTGAAATGGATGGTAAATTTGTGCACTTGAAAAGGTCAGATAGCAAGATGGCTCTAGAAATTTAGGAGTATAATTTTAATAGATGTGCATCACTCTGGATGGAACCATGAAAATGCTGATTCATACCCCAAAGACCATGTATAAACGCCATTGAAAGAGGGAAGTGCAAAATATTAAAGACAACCAACTTAAAGTACAATAGATTATACTCTAAGATGAGATATCCACAAGTGATGATGAAGAACTAATGCAGTCCAATACTCAACTGAAAGATGCCCAGTCAAAAAATACAATTTTGGTACCAATTACTCAATGGATGAGGAATAGTGCAGAAAATCCCTCGTGGGAAGCAATTGCTCCATACAGCCCATAGACTTAGATTCATTGTACCTTCTGTATTCACATTCATAGGATAGTCACTTAACAGAATCTGACACAGAATTTGTAAAGAGACTATTGGTATCATACCTGATTTTACCCAGGGAAGACATAAATCAGCTAATGATAAAATTAATAGGTGAGTCATTGGTCAACTGGGTAATTTCAAAGAAGAATCTGCCAGTGGAAAGTCAACTTACTGAAGATCCCACAGTTCCTGTCGACACTACTTCCCAGGGATAACCAAAAATAGAGCCACCAGTGGATTTGCTTGACCTAAGGAGAACTTCCCACAGTCATAGGACAGCAAGTGATTATAAGTGACAAGAGGTCATTCCATCTGTATATCAATGCTTGTAAAAGAAAATCACTAAAGAGTATTGTTTTATTTCTGTATTAGGATTGTTCAAGAGACTTCACAGTCCAAGAAGGTGGCAGTGTTGTAAGCTATATTTTTAATATTTGATCTAGATATTTGATTGATTGAGGGAGCTCCTCATGAAATCACGATGATCCATTATCTAGAAAAATTCATGAAAGTTAAGGCTTTGGTAGAATCTGGAAATGGCTTGCCATGATCCGGTGGTTAGAGTGTTCGAGTTGTAACCTGCGGGTCACAGGTTCAAATCTCAGACTCCCGTCATTAAACATACCCGTTCTTTCTGTCGTGGGGGGGGGGGGTGTTATAACGTGATGCTCAGCTCAATCCCACTTTTCGTTGGTAAAGAGTAACCCACGAGTTGGTATAGTGTGGTGTTGACTAGCTGCTTTCCCTCTAGTGTATCATTTTTATATTAGGGATGGCTATCACAGATATCCCTCGATTAGTCTTGCATGAATTTCAACAAAGCAAACAGGCAAACAAAAATTTTGAAATGTCTTACATTACAGAGAAACCTAGATCATATATAAGTACCAGACGCAGTAAATTAATGATTAACCAGTGAGTGATTCAGTTCAGTGTCAGCTAGTGAGTTACTGTGTCTGTGATTCAGTTACTAAGTTAGCCAGTCAGAGTGATTGTTATCAATCGATTAGCGAGGAAATTGTGTAAGTAAGTTTATTTGTGAGTTGGACGTAACATTAGTTTTGTATTTTTGTTGAAAAGTTCCTTTGCGAAATTAGGCTTACTTGTTAACCTAACCTATACCAAATGTTATTGAAAAAAATGAAATAATTCGTTATTTTAACGTGAATTGTACATGGGATTATTTTTACCAAATAATCTGAAAGGACCCGCCCAACGATAAGCCTTTTTACAACAATACTAGTATTAACACAGGTTCAATATTCATTTGATCAATCCAGAATCAATAAAAAACAAAAATCACAATAATTATTTTAAAAACTAAAAACAAAACAAAAAATATCTGGAAGAACTTACCGAGTTGTCCGCTTTTCTGGATTGAATTACTTGGCTACACATGCTCATTAGACGAAAGACTGGGTTGACTCCTTTATTGCGGAACTTAAAACTCATTTGACCCAACTTGGTCATTATTGTCTCAATTTCCGGGAAGGAGACTAAAGAATAATTTAATCAATATAGTAGTAAATATATCATCACAAAATAATAATCTCTCTCCCGAAGAGTAAATATCTTTAAATTGTTTGTTTGGAATTAAGCATAAAGCTGTGCAATGGGCTATCTGTGCTCTGCCCATCACGGGAATCGAAACCCGGTTTCTAGCGTTGTGAGTCCGCAGATATACCGCTGTGCCACTGGGGAGCAAAATTTATTTACAACAAAACAAAGCATATTAATCGCAGTGAGATGTTTATAAACGGATTTAGGATTAACCTATGTCTCCTAAGCTCTGGTGAGATACTGTTGGGATTACGACCGAAAATATAAACGACAGCGAGTGTACGTAATTGATGAACCAATGCATTTTAATCCTTTGTTTTTTTAGAAAGCATTCTCTTAGTTGGCCCGGCATGGCCAGGTGGTTAGGGGGCGCTCGACTCGCAATCTGGAGGTCGCGTGTTCGAATCCCTTTCACACCATACATGTTCGCCCTTTCAGCCGTGGGGGCGTTATAACGTAACAGTCAATCCCACTATTCGTTGGCAAAAGAGTAGCCCAAGAATTGGCCGTGGGTGGTGATCACTAGCTGCCTTCCCTCTGCTAAATTAGGGACGTCTAGCGCAGGTAGCCCTCGTGTAGCTTTGCGCGAAATTCAAAACAAACAAACAATCATTATCTTAGTTAGAACGGCATATAAAAATTACTACATTATTCAGTGGGATTAGTTCTGATCTACGTAGATAGCTTGCTTTGATCAAAAGTCATTGATAGTCTACTTTTATAACCAAAACAACTTAGCAAAATGCACACTTTTACACTTTGATAGAAACAAATCTTTATATATCTATAAATATATTATTTTAAACTTGCTCTTTCGGAACAATAAGCATACGTTGCGTATTATAATGCAAATACGTTTTTATTATCGAATTTTGGTTATTAAAGACTGTGTGTGTACATAAATGTATTTTTTATATTTTCCTTTTGTTTCTAGATGTCTCACTTACCCATCATAACCGTCAACCAAGAATGGAATTCACGAGAGAAAATCACTCTAGAGTTTTTAACGAGCTCGTGTTCTTCAGGACTCTTCTGGACGTCTGTCTGTATCCCCAAAGCACACCTCCCGATCACATCCATAGTCAAACTCTGATATAACTTGTACACGTCGAAAGGCTTCCCTTCTTGAGACTTTTTCTCGATATTGGTGAGAAGTTCTTGTATAGCGTAATTCATTATTGATGACATCTGGTGGAAGTTAAACGAACAGGGCTGAAATTGGCGTCTGACGAGATATTCTTACTCTTATTACAGTTTTAATGATGGCATACTTCACAAAGTGTTTAATGAACTCGTTTCTAACTAAATTTAAGCACGCGATTCTTTCAGCGATAAGCAAGCTATCTTTCAGTAAATGTTTATGTTAAGTCTTTTCCTTGCCATGCTTTCTGTACACGTGATTATTTCGCATTTATCCTCTCAGTTTATTTACGTCCAAATCACTGATCTCAGAAAATTCCCAACTTAAAGTTCCCCCTACAGGCAAACTAATTTATCTAATGGTTATAATCCTTTAATTAATGATGTCATATTAGTGGGAAGGGTAAAGCATAACCTACCATTAGTGAATAAAAACACAGAAACTAAAGTACCTTAAAAGAAATTAAGATGTAATTTTTAGAAATGAAAACTGACTAATTAATTAATGATTTTTATGCCTTACTGTTTTTAATTTTCCTGTTGTAAACGAAGGCGTTAACACACTTCTGATTTCTTTCCAGCGATGACCTTGAACGTGGGTTAATGCATGCGACATTTTGTTTCCTGGCTTAGGTTGGGCTTGAAACAACCCCTAGATAACACGAAAGTTTGTTAATAATAATTGATAAGAACATATTGTTTTAAACATTTGAAAGTAGTAACGAATGATGGAAGTGTAATTATATCACCGTTCGTTAAGCTTCCTACAGCTTTGTACGATATATATATAATACTGTTTCCCAAACTGGGATTCAGGGGACCTCTGAGAGACCTCGATCCCAAACTGGGATTCAGGGGGACATCTGAGAGACCTCGATCCCAAACTGGGATTCAGGGGACCTCTGAGAGACCTCGATATAACTTCAGAAGCACATCATTATATATTTTCCCTCTGATTGGTTTGTGTTTTCTTCCATTCTATCAAACTGTTGTTTGGATTGAAGGTTGGTTGAAGGATAATAGCAATCCTAGATGATAATATTTCTATGCAATTTCAAATAATAATATCTCTATACAATCCCAGATAATAACATTTCAACACAATCTCGGATAGTAGTATTTCAATACAATCTCTGAGACTAGTATTTCAATAAAATCCCTGAGACTAGTATTTAAATACAATCTCTGAGACTAGTATTTCAATAAAATCTCTGAGACTAGTATTTTAATAAAATCTCTGAGACTAGTATTTCAATAAAATCTCTGAGACTAGTATTTCAATAACAATTCAGATAATATTTCTACACAATTCCAGATAATAATATTTCTATACAATTCCAGATAATAATATTTCTACACAATTCCAGATAATAACATTTCATACACAATTCTAGATAATAACATTTCTATACAATTCCAGATAATAATATTTCTATACAATCCAGATAATAATATTTCTAAAACATCCCAGATAAGAATATTTCTAAACAATCTCAGATAGTAATATTCCTATACAGTCCCAGATAATAATATTTTCAGACAGTTCCAGATAGTAATATTTTCAGACAGTTCCAGATAAGAGTAATTCTACACAATCCCAGGTAATAATATTTAAAAAATAATAATAAGATTTCTACACAATTAATAATATTTCTACATAATCCCAGATAATAATATTTCTACACAACCCTAGATAATAATATTTCTACACAATCCCAGCTAATAATATTTCGACACAATCCCAGACAACAATAATGTTTCTACACAATCCCAGATAATAATATTTCTACACAATCCCTGATAATAATATTTCTACACAATCCCAGATAATAATATTTCCACACAATCCCAGATAATAATATTTCGACACAATCCCAGAAAACAATAATATTTCTACACAATCCCAGATAATAATATTTCCACACAATCCCAGATAATAATATTTCGACACAATCCCAGAAAACAATAATATTTCTACATACTCCTAAGCGTTCAGAGAATTCCAGACAGTGACATTACTATATAATTCCATATAATAATAAAATTCCTACATAATCACAGTTGAAACAAATGTTTGCAAATAGGTGAAAATATACACAAACATTTACGTGCTAAAATACGTCATAAATATAATGTAAGAAATTTATATAACATACTCCCAGATTGAACTGCTCATACAAATATGACATATAATAATATATAAATGTTTGTTTGCTTAACTTCGTGCAAAGCTACTTGAGGGAAATATTCTACACTAGCCTTCCCTGATTCTAAAGTGATAGACTAGAAGCTAGTCAACACCAACTGCCACTAACTCTTGGGCTACTCTTTCCCAGCGAATATTGGGATTTACAGTCACACTATAACCTACTCCACGTTTCGATCCCTCGACTCCGCAGTTTGAGAGTCCATCATCCTGCTCAGCAGGTCACAATACGTACATATTTTTATAAATACATATTAATCTTCCTACAATAACAGGCTCGCATACATTTACATCAGAACAGGAAATATTTTCTCTACACAGTTAATGATAAAGATATAATTACGTTATTAATATGATATTTTTACCTAATATTAATTTCACTTAAAAGTGAATAAGATAGGTCCACTACAAGATGGAGGATTTGGCAAGATAGATTTCAACGTAATATTTAATCTTTGGAAAGAAATAAAAGGACTAGGCATGATATGTAATACATAATGAAAACAATCTTTATTCTTGCAACACAAAGAAACTGTGTGTGTGTGTGTGCTTCGCCTTATGGAAGATGGATAATGTTCTTTAGCCCTTTACATTTTATTGAACTTGTAGATTGATCGGGCTGGCTCTACTACCTCAAGACTTATATCCAAACTCATTTACTCTGACAAAATATCATGTTACTTAATAGAATCGCTAACGTCAAACTTGCCAAGAGCAACTAACGCTAACCACGTGAATGGTCATCCACTTTCAAGCATAAGGAAGATCGTAACGTCCAGGCAACACCTAACCTACTATTAGGCTTTCGATTTTAATGCATCTTTACAGCCATACATCCCATGGGCACACCCAGCATTATCTCAAAAATAATAATAAAGAAGAAAGGTAACAATAACATAATCATCTTAACAACTTTCTCGACCACGTGTTATTTGAAAACTGCACATACTCCTATCAGAGGAGACAACTTTTAAAATTTCCTATGTTAAAATAAGAAGATAGAAAACGCAGAGGACATCTGCATATCACATATGTAATAAGATGTCCACCTACCGGCCTGTTGATAAAATTCTGAAAGTCCTTTATTTGAATGTTTTTCAACAAATCAGGATCGGCTATACAGATAACTGGCCTCATACCTAGGTAGTACCTGAAATAAAAAATATAATAAACATAAAATAATTGAATTAAGTATTACCAGAAAATAAAATAGAAAACATGGAGAATATGTATTACCTGAAGTAAGATCTAAAAGGAAAACATGGAATCCACTTTTTGGAAAATATGTTTTGGAGACGATTTGAACTGGTAGTGAAAGAAACGTTATTACAAGTGCACAATGTTTCTCAAAAGCTTATATACCTGATGGTGACAAACTTTATAGAACAAATAATTATCCAAAGTAAAATATAGATGCGTTTTTGTTATGTGGTATTTCACAGATAAAATAAAAAGTAAATAAAGGGAAACAGAGACAAAAAATAAATAAAATATTTATTCCAGATGAGTCAATAATGTTTTCACTTACTGAATCATAGTTCAGACTTTAAATGGTGAACCGCTTTTATTGCTCTATTCTAATAAAAACTTTGGCTGCTGAACTAGGAATTAAAAATAAGCATTTTCATTGAACCAAGACATACAAGATCCTGTTAATACCATACTTTTTTTATTATTAGATAAGAGTACTATTGTGGTATCCCATACTCTTAGATTACCTACACCAGAAATCACTGTTATTAACATATTTTAGGGGTGGTTAACTCCTTGGCAATTCTAACTTCAATAAATCCGTGGCCCACCTCTCTACATAAATTGGCCATAAGGGGGGGGGGGTACGAGAAGCTTGATCTCTGAATGATCACTGTAGTTGTGATTAAAGCAGGATAGGGCTAACTACATCCTGTTTATAGGGAATGTTAACTAAACAAAACAGTTAAAATTCATCTGAATATACTTGTACGAATTGCCTCCCTCTAGCACAACAGTAAATTTGCGGATTTAAAACGCTAGAAGTGGGTTTCGATACCTGTGGTGGGCATAGAACAGATAGCCCATTGTGTAACTTTGTGCGATTATAGTAATTATATGTTCTAACGTCTTACTTGAAACCTTTACGGAGTAAAAGTAGTATATGAAGAGTTAATTAAACGATTTTTTGGGCTCAAAGGGTTATCTATGGATTCAAAGGACATTGACCTTGAATACTTGAAACCTTTACGGAGTAAAAGTAGTATATGAAGAGTTAATTAAACGATTTTTTGGGCTCAAAGGGTTATCTATGGATTCAAAGGACATTGACCTTGAAGTGTTTTTTTATCTCAAACAATACCTGACCTCAAAGTATTGTTGTCTAGGTTAAAACGATTTTCTAATTCTCAAAAGGTTATAAGGGTTCAAAGAAATTAGCTAGTACGACTGTGTCCAGTTGAGGCTGCCATATTGAAGTCAGGGGTCAAAATCGAAACATATTTATTCTCACTATATACAACTGTTACAACCGAACTATTTACTAATTTTACCTTTTCATAGTTATTTAAAATTATACCTTTATTCAAATATTGGAAATATTGTAAACATGTGCTAATTCTTTCACACAAGTAAAGGTTACATACTCCAACAGCTAACTTGTACTATTTTCTGTATGGACTTCTAGAAAGTTTGCTTTTTTGAACAGGAAATACCTGTAAAGTTGCTTGCACTGATTAGAGTTACATATGAACTAGTAGTTTAAATATGTAACTGTTGACTTATGGGATACCGTACTAAGGCTTTCGTCCGACTATAAGAGTGGGGTATCCAGTATTTCTCTTGGTCTTTATTCTTGGTGTCCTTGTCCTGTGAAGACGTAACGAGAAACAGAGGCAGTATATTTGTCCACTTATTTCTTTTTCTGTTTGATTTCTGTATTCTAGTTATTCTCTGCGTAACATTTCCATAATCTGAGCTTTGTTTTAAACTTATCTGTCGAATATCAATCTACCTCAATATTACCCTTTTACCAGAAAAGCATCGATAAAACTATTTTCTGCTTTTTCTACACCCTCGAGCTGTCTAAAGATGGTACAGTGCTTAAGTCGGTCAGTTTGTTTTTGTATTTTGGTTTCCATTTTAATAAAGTGATGATGCTACTTACCCAAAGACTTTGCCATATTTATCAATCCATTTCTGAAGGCAATAAAGAGGTCCCTAAAAGGATAGAAAATAATGCAAAAAATCATACCAGTGGCATAAGAGGTACATAACTAATTATACCAATAAATAGAATAATAATAAAATTAATCGAATTTAAATTACTTTATATATAATATAATAACCTAAATTTTCTTAATTTCGTTCTTTCCTCTCCAGTTCAAAAAAATAATTTTCATGACTCGAACTTTAGGCATCGTGTTTTTTTGTAAGAACCTAAAGCGCCATCTGTCTCGAGACAAACTTAGCTAATTAAGAGGAACCAAGGACTTATTCTTCAGGTAAGTTATCCTGAATGAATAATTCTGTAATTTTTCTTGCAGTTTAAATTGTGTATTAGCTAAGGTCCGATTTAGATTTTATTAGAAATTATTTTATGAAACCTGTTTCACACATTCATATGTACGTTTTTAAGTTTACCTTTGTGTACATCTCCCACATGTTCCCAAATAAGATGTTTGGTTTGGGTCCAGGAATTTCCAGTTCTTCTAGATAGGTGATGCGTTTCTTTCTCCATCTAAGATATATTAAATTCGTTTCTTCTAGAAAAACAGTAACACGAACGTTGGTATCAACTTTAATAAAGCAACAGAAACAATGTGTGACTATCAAACGATGATCTTTTTTAACAAACATATGGTCTGACACGATCTAATCAGTGGCTAGAGCGCTTGACTCGCAATCTGAGGGTCGCGAGCTAGAATCCCGACTCTCAAAATGTTCGTGCCCTTTCAATCGTGGAGCCTTTACAACGTTACGGTCAAACCCATTATTTGTCGGTAAACAGTAGCCTGAGAGTTGGCGGTGGGTACGTTGACTATCTACCTTCCCTTTAGTCTATATCACTTCGACAGAAAACGTGACGTGAAACAATGTTTGACTTTTCCCTGTCTTTGACTGAGTCTGGTTTACAAGAAAAGGGATACAGTTTTACGAACGATCACAATATTTATTTAGAAAAGAACACAGTCAAAGTTCGAATTGAAAAGTGTTTTTATTCTGTGTATTCAAGTGGAGAGAGATAGAAATCTTTATGTGTGTTTTTCAGCGGTTTCTGACTTGCCGCTGTGCCAATGGGGGTTGGGCTCGAGGTTGAATGCTTTCATAATGTCCCCCCGATGGATCAGTGGTAAGTTTACCAAAACTAAAATCCGGGGTTCGATTTCCCACGATGGATCCACAGCAGATAGGCCAATCTGGCTTTGATCGAAAATAAAACAAACTTAGCTTTTATAACACAAAATATAAATGAATAACGTTACTTCTGGTTCATTTACAGCAGTTATGCCTATTCATTATTGACCTTCCTGGAGTTAGGGTGATACTAGTTACAACCTATCTCATTTCTGCACGTGTCTGTTTGCCCCAAAAATATTTACACCTATTGGCAGAGATCAACAAAACGCGCACATAATTTCACGTGAAAATGATAATTACCAAGATGATATGACATGTATTCACATCTGTTTTTATATTTTTTGTTTTCACATAAAGAAATAAATCCTCTTGAAGCAGCAAATTTCAGAACTTAACATGCTCACTATGGATTAGCTAGCTTTGTTACGATAACCGTGAGCAAAAAAACAGATTTAAGTTTGTTTTTTACATACCAAAGTTTCTTATGAAGCGCATAGCTACACAATGGGCTATCTGAGCTGTACCCATCGCGAGTATCGAAACCCGATTTTTAGCGTTAATCTACGAAAGCGTGTTATAGTTTTAAGTGCCTAAATGGAAGACGCCTTGTTGATGCTCACTCCAAAGTTCAAGGAATTTTTAGCTGCGGCATAACGGCTCATAGAATGGCTCCGAGTTAGTTTTTGTTGTTGTTGTTGTTGTCATTTGTTTTTCAAGTACAAACTTTTAGCTCGTAGCTCCGTCATTTCTTGGCCGATTTGAGATATAATTACAGTTTTGGACTCAGGAGGTCAAACCCTTTCGATCGATGCACGACCAAAGTTTCATAGATCAATTTACTATAATACTGGCTAAAGAAAATCAATTTAGGGGGTACGCTGGTAGAGATCCTGATGAGTAATAAAATCCAAATCGGGTATACGCGCCCCACGCTTGGTATTGCTGGCGTACAAAAATATAGGCAATAAAAAGGAAAAAAAAAAAGGCCAACAGGTAAGGTCTCATAGATTAGTTTACTCTAATCCTGCCTAAAAGAATTTCAAGTGCCGCGGCTATTGAGGATTCCCTCTTGTTTTGTTTTTTTAATCTTAAAAACACTCGTGTAATTTGTCATTTTATTGATACAATAGTAAGAATAGAAATATGCCATGATAGTAAGATAGTAATTCAACATGAAACTAAGGGGGGAAGGAAAAAAGTTCATTTATAAAATATATGTTCTTTTCACTTAAAATCGTTTTTGCCCACCTACACAAAAAGTGCGCAATAAATTATCTCACAAGCAATTTCACGAAGGCGTTGCTTTTATAAATCACATGCCTAGCGCGGGATCCTTCATATCTTTTACTGTTACTGTTTATCTTAACAAATTCTAGTGGTAGTACCAGCAAGCACTATTGTTCTTAAGATAAATATTTGATAAAAAGAACTGTTTATGTGACTGATAATATATGCGGTTGTTTTTTTTTGTTTTTTTTCCGGTTAATTAAAACACCTACACGATAAAACTACCGTGTATTTGGATTGCTCTCCAATTCAGATTGCACCCGATTTTTATACGGCAAAAATAAATACGTTTAAAATAAAATTCCGATTACGCGTCAGGATTTTGAATTTAAGAGGGCGTTAGATGTACCTGATGGAATTCCACCATCAACAGCAATTTACAATTTTAGACTTTAGGATTGTTTTTTAACAGGATGTTTGGCAAGAAACAAAAATCTAAGTTAAAAGAAAATAATTTGGTAATATTGTACTGGGTTTTTACTAAGTCTAGGACTCAAACTTTCCTTTTGAATTGATTATACAGTCAATCAACGGCCCGGCATGGCCAGTTGGTTAGGGCGCTCGACTCGCAATCTTTGGGTCGCGGGTTCGAATCCCCCGTCCCACCAAACATGCTCGCCCTTTCAGCCGTTGGGGCGTTATAGTGTGACGATCAATCCCACTATTCGTTGGTAAAAGAGTAGCCCAAGAGTTGGCGTTGGGTGGTGATGACTAGCTGCCTTCCCTTTAGTGTTACGATGCTAAATTAGGGACGGCTGGAGCAGATAGCTCTCTTGTAGTTTTGCGCGAAATCCATAACAAGCCGGTCATCACCACCCAACTCTTGAGCTACTCTTTTACGAACGAATAGTGGTATTGATCGTCACATTATAACGTCCCCATGCCTGAAAGGGCGAGCATGTTTTGTGGAACGGGGGATTCGAACCCACGACCCGCAGATTGCGAGTCGAGCGCCCTAACCATCTGGCCATGCCGGGCCCAGAAGAGCTGTTAACCAAGAAATGGGACTGACTGTAACTCTTATAACGCACTCATAACTTGAAATAACGGATCACGATTAGAGAATAACAGGGCGAATCTTTCAACCCTTTCAATCTACAGCTCAACATGTTAAACACTCGGTCACCTTCGGCCCAGCTAGAGAAGAACAGAAAGATGTAAAGACTTTTCCTAATACACTGCATAACATTTTATAAAACAAAGCAACAAAAAAAAAAAAATAGAGCCGGAATGCATCAAAAGTGGTGAAGTAACTACATGAGTCAGGCTAGGACTAAACGTTTGAAGTATGAGGAAATGGAGTCAGGCTAGGACTAAACGCTTGAAGTATGAGGAAATGGAGTCAGGCTAGGACTAAACGCTTGAAGTATGAGGAAATGGAGTCAGGCTAGGACTAAACGCTTGAAGTATGAGGAAATGGAGTCAGGCTAGGACTAAACGTTTGAAGTATGAGGAAATGGAGTCAGGCTAGGACTAAGCGTTTGAAGTATGAGGAAATGGAGTCAGGCTAGGACTAAACGCTTGAAGTATGAGGAAATGTTTAGCACGTACACCAACTATAGGAGAGTGCCCTACAGGTCATCATGAATAGCTACTTGGAATAGTATATAGTGTATATGCCCATTTTCAGATATCCAGGGCGTCCCAAAGTCGAAATCTGGCGAACAGCCAAAACCAAGGTTTCTTATTTTCGTTCATCATCTTTCATCAACAGGCCTAGCACCTACCTAGTTCTAGCAGTAACTATCATCATTTGATAGAACAAAACAGTCTTCACGATCTTTGACTACATATTTCATTATTATTCTATGTAAAATGTATTAAACTTCAGAATACACTCTATAACCTAGTAACCCACGTACAAGTATTAGGAAACAAAATATCGCGAAATAAAAAAACCTGTGTAGGGCTGGTTACTGAACTTCATAAAAAGGAACCAAACCACTTGATCGAGCTAATTATCACATAGCAGACTAAACGTCTCGACTTTACATAGAGAATAAAATCTCTACATTACTGATTTCCTCACTATCAAAACAAATAGAACCAGAATTTACAATCGTAAAATGTTACTCTATCGTAAAGTAGTCATAAAAGCGGTATTCTAAAGTTAACTAAAGTAAAGGTGTAATGATGGAATCTAAGATTCTATTCAAACACTAAGCTTTCGATAAACAAAGTGAGGAAGCCAGTAATGTAGGAATTTTATTCTCCATGTAAAGTCGAGACGACTTAGTCTGTTATGTGATCATTAGCCGGATCAAGTGATATGTCCACTTCCATCCTTATCCTGTTTGGTTCTTTTTTTTTCTTCAAGTTCAGTAGCCAGCACTACCCAGCTTTTCTGTTTAGCCATATTATTTTCATAATACTTGTAATAAAATACCCACGTAGAAATCCGACTGGGATTTAACGTTTCGAAAGGGAAATAAAATATTCCATACTTACAGCAGCCATAAGAAAATAACCACGGAGACTAGGCCTAGAGTTGTTACTCCTAACATCTTGTTTCTGTGCAGGTTACCAGTTGTGAAGGCTGCCCTCTAGAGGAATCCGGCGTATTTGTGAGTGAGTATTTCACCCAGTAGTGACGAGTACAAAACAAACAAAATTATCTACTTATAACTTGTGGACTGCTCTGTCGTTGGTCACCCTCACGTGAAGTTTCATGACTGATTAGCACGTGGTTAAAACGAACAGCACTGTAAGCTAAACAATGAACTCCTGAGACTCCTAACGTAGTGATAATTGGGCAAAGTACAGTGCACGTGACCGTGGAGAAGTGGCGTAATCGGGATTTGAAGGATGGGACAAGAAATAAAATAATAAATACGTCAGGTCGTTTTATTACAATTATCATAAATACTTTATTTATTGTTAAAGTGTAAAATAACTTAAATATTAGGAGCCATCGTTTCGGAGGTAAGGAAAACGGTTACACCTAGCCCATTCCCGAGGTTACTCCAATGTCGTAAATCGACAAAATAATGGAAAATAGTCAAGTTTAGACTGTACGACCACTCTTCTTGTGTTGCAAAAAGGGGTTTCCTTTTCAGTGAACTGAGTATGACTACATTACTGACAAGGAAACTTCGTTCTATTAGTCCAACATCCATCACCCCTAAAGGATGAAACGTTCGTCCGTAACAGCCCCAAAACATTCGTCGTGTAAAGACTGTAGCTGATAGAATTGATTAAATAGTTGTTCTCCATCTCATTTATAAGTTTGACCACCATGCCTTCTCCAAAACGACCTTCTTCTCCATCTCATTTATAAGTTTGACCACCATGCCTTCTCCAAAACGACCTTCTTCTCCATCTCATTTATAAGTTTGACCATCATGTCTTCTCCACAACGACCTTCTTCTCCATCTCATTTATAAGTTTGACCATCATGTCTTCTCCATAATGACCTGCATGGACAAAACTTCCAGACAACTGGTGTTTGTAAAACAACTGAATCGTAACATCATTACTGAGCTTTAACTCAGTAGTGACAATGAGCTTTTATATATTTTTTACGTCAACTATTTTTAACTTTTCTTGGTAACAAATTTCATTCAGCAAAGATTCATTTAATACCGTGTTTTTATTCATTTTCTACAAAACATTTTATCATTCGTTTCATTTGGAATTGACAGTCACATTATAACGCCCCCACGGCTGAAAGGGCGAGCATGTTTGGTGGGATGGAGATTCGATCCCGCGACCCTTAGATGGCCCTAACCACCTGGCCATGCCAGGGCTAAAGAAGTTTAGTATATCGAGTATATCTGAGTCGTAAAATTCAAATATGAGACGAATTACGAATAATGATGATTGAGTACGTTACATGAATATGCTTTTGAATGTCCAAACCAAGAAGCCACGTGACAACCAGAACCGATATAAATTGGCTGTGGAACGGCATGTATCAGAACTACATTTTGGCGTTAGGTAGGTAGAGATATCTTCATGGAAATTGATCGCTTTTGGCGCTCATACACTTAGGTCATAAAGATGTGCAGATCAGGTATTTTGGACTTCGTACACTTAGGTCATAAAGATGTGCAGATTAGGTATTTAGGACTTCATATACTTAGGTCATAAAGTGTGCAGCTAAGGTATTTAGGACTTCGTATACTTAGGTCATAAAGTGTGCAGCTCAGGTATTTAGGACGT